AAGAAAAAGATATTGGGCCCAACTGTCCGATTCCTTGGATACTACAGGGACTGAATTACGTGTAAAGTTTAAATTTAGAAAAGTATGCCATAAACCATACAATATCGTTAAGATTAACCTGAGTATAATGTCTAAATTTGCCCTTCATTTAAACGTTGACTGTTCTATAGCAATTTAAAAAACCAATTGAAGCAGTTGTCTCTGCAGTGCTGTGTTACAACTAGGGCATGTTTCAAACCGTTTTCTTCACTAGAACATTGTGGACATTTTGATTTGCTTGTTTCACTTGAAATAATGAAAACCAAAGATCTAAAGCATTCAAATTTCTCCTATCTCCGACAATTTACAAAGAAAATTGTATTGTGAATATTCAGGATTTACCTTGCTGCGACTAGTCATAAATTTTCAGATTTTGAGATTTCTAGATATTTAATTTCAGCATCCAGTTTTCTAACCACTATCTTTGAATCATGCCTAGTGACAACCGTTCGATTTCGTTAGATATTTGAACCCATCAAAGATCTGAGATTTTTTTTCACAAGAAAAGTAGCATTGTCTTATCGCGGTTTGTTGCTTGTAGTTTAACAGATAGTAATTACTGGATTGTTAGGAATAAATCCAATAAGTTGTAGGCTGTGTGATTCTTAAGCTGGTGAATTACCTAAGATAAATAGTGATTAAATACATAGTGCAGTAGATTTTACCTACACAATAACGATTACAGCAAAAACAATTGCCATTCACTTAGAAAATCATGAACCCTTATAAAGGATATGTCTATTTATAATTTATACGAGATCCTTTATAACTGCATTGTATAAGAGTTTAGGACACCCACTTTTTGCATATCTCGCCTTTCATTATTGCAGGCTAATACAATCAATTATAGAATGCGATTACTGCTTCCTTTTTCATTATAGTACAGTCATTAACCTGTCTGAGTATCTGAGAGTATGTTCCTTCCTAGACCGAGTCAGGGCCACTAACAAAAAAAATACTATAGTTAACTATAGTTTACTATAGTAAATCAAAGTTTTTACTGTAGTAAATCAAAGTTTTTACTATAATAAATCAAAGTTTTTACTATAATAAATCAAAGTTTTTACTGTAGTAAATCAAAGTTTTTACTATATTAAATCAAAGTATTTTTACTATGGATTACAGATTGTTATATTTTATGTTCTCCAGTTCATACATGTATATTTTTTATATTAATGGAACTTTTACCTATATATTCACATATTATTTAAAAGTTTTACTTCACTCTTATCAAATTTAAGATATTTTTTCTTTGAAATCTCAAAGAAGATTCAGAGTAAAGTTTCATAGTAACTCAAAGTATCAAAGTGTTTACTATAATTAACTATAATAAACTATATTTCACTATATATTTCACATGGCTTTTATTGTGGTGTTAAAGACGAAGATAAAGTACAGGGATCAATCTCATATATCCACAAAAAAAATACGAATCGTGAACAGGGCAAAAACACAGATACCGGGAAACATCAGGGGTGGGATCAGGTGCCGAAGAGGAGTAAGCATCCCCTGTGGACCAGTCACACCCTGCCGTGCGCCCTCTGTATTGATCAGGCAGACCGAGTAATCCGTCGTCAAATTTCGTGTATAAGACATGACCTAACATTTGGTATGAAACATATCAGCCAAAACCAAAGACTTGAAATCTCTGATGGCTGCATTAAAGATGGTTTTGAATTCCCTACTCAGAGGCAGCTTTTAGACTTGTATCATTTAACTTTGAGAATTTTACATTGAAAGAATTTTTGTATCATTACTTTCTCTCTAAATTTAATTTAACCCAAACCAAAAGTGTAGGTGTCTTAGCTTTAAGAAATGCCTTGACATATTCTTGGTTGAATCCCAACCGATGTAATTATTTTTCTGTTAAAGCGGAGCGCTGAATCTGCTTTTTTGTCTTCAAATCCATATTGTTGTCTCAACACCTACGAGTAATACCATAAAAATGCCAGAATTTCTAAAGATTTCATTCCAAGAGTAGGGGTTTTTCAATAGATGACATCATATTATAAAAGTAAAAATCTGCAGTTCTCAAAACGCAAAGAGATGCAGCTATGGATAAAAAAGGAATTCCTTCCACAGTGACACTAACCACAGAATGAAGAGGATTAATTGATATCCATGAGAGACGCCATTGCCATGTTTAAAATAAAATACTTTTTGATATGTTTGCTCTGTAACGTGGGAACATACTCCCTATGGTCTGTTTGCCCTTTTAAGGAAAACTATAATGTATTCGTATTTTCAACATGCTATTGGAAAAATGTCCACTTTTGAGGCTCTTTGTCCCTTATACATATTCTAGTCCTATATAAGGCCTATATAAGTTTTTGGGATAAAAATCGTCGAAAACAAAGTCATGATAAACTAAAATTTGATATCAGTTTAATGAAAGATGATACAAACTTTTATCTAGAATCTTGAAAATAACAACTTAAGTCATGTTTATATAAGGAAAATGAGTAAGTTTAGATTTCATCTTTTTTTCAATCAAAGTCTCACAGTAATGGGATTTAACGTGACAAAAAGTTTTATAAATTTATAAGGATGGTTGCAGAAAAGTAAAATTTTGAACATCATGGAAGGTTTACAATACTTCAGAAATTTATTATTCGCATCATTTATACCCAGAGGGGTCGAAAAATATATATCAATCCGGGCATCTATTTTTTCCTTCGTATCATCTGTCCATAAGACAAGTACAATCATGAAAGAGAAATTTCATTGAAAAAAATATATATAATGAACAAATTATAGTCTTGGTATAAAGATTTGACATTTCCCACGCACTAATGCATTTCTTTCAATTTTTCATGGAATTCTTTTCTATTTATGTTTCAAGTTTTCCAAAATTTACGTCAATGACGCAAAGAAGTTGTACTAGTGTTTGCAAAAACTGTCGTTATAGTAAGTCTAAATTTGTTTTGGAGATAAAAAGTAAATACATGATATTGTCTTTTTTGGAAAGAAAAGCAATCAGGTTAAGGTTATAATTACTTAATGACAATACAAATTCTTGTGTCATCGTAACATTAATTGACATATTATGGATTTTGGTTGTTGTATTATAACGATTCAAACTGCGTCGGCGAGACTGTTTAAACACAGGACACTTGAACCAGTGTGTGTTTTAGGAATGTCCTTAAACGACTGGCGCTAATTACATTTAGTCCTATAAGATTAACTATTCTTCATTGCTGAGAAAAAAAAACTCGGGCGCTTATTTTTTTCTTGTTCGAATAAGATATCAGGTTTAAATAGGAAGTAGTAGTTTACGACACCGAATTATTGATTTCATCTGGAAAAAAAAAAATAGGATGGGGCTCTTCAGAGCTTATTTTTATTTGTCAAAACCCGACTTTAAATAATTATAAATTTTATCTTATTTTGAGGGAACTTCAAGCATTTTTTTTTAAAACTAGGTACCAATGGTAACACGGATCATAAAATTCAAAACTCATGTATTTAATAACTCTTGGTAGAGTTTAACTCTGCAGAAAGTTATTAACTTAACTCAGAGGAAAGCTAAGTTTTGAAAGAATTTCATAACCTATATTTTGTACCAATGGCTACATAGATATAGAGAATTGTGTCTTGTTATAGTCTACCTGTGTACCGAATTTTTCGAAGCAGAGCAATACCGCATGCTGGAAGTGTGCACATGAACATTGTATACAGACTAGGAATACCTTCCTGATATATATAAGAACCTAGCTTTTGACAAAAACAGCTAAAACTCTATACATTTATGCAAAATGAAAAAGAACTATTTTTTTTACAGTTACATGTGCCTCAATCGCACAGTGTATAAATGCAACTTTATTAGGATTGATTGATTGATTGTATGTTGTTTTACGTCCCGTTCGAGAATTTTTCACTCATATAGAGACGTCATCATATACTGGTGAAGGGCTTCAAATTTAGACCTTTACTCGGCACTTAGGGCCATTGAGCAGTGAGGGTTCTTTATCGTGCCAACGCCTACCGTGACACGGGGCCTCAGTTTTTAAGTTATTATCCGAAGGACCCGCAACTTTCACTTCAAAGTGACGAGCGCTTGGCGAAAGAACAGTTGCTACCTATTTTTTATCGACTTACACATGTAGGTTAATCGCAGCCGTGATTCGAACACACGACCTACCGATCACAGAGCGAGCAGTCTACCGACTGAGCTAACGTGACGGCTGCAACTTTATTAGGAAGAATATGGTACGATTTTCCAGTCAGTACATTTATAAATATATTTTACTATGTATTGCGGATATTTGAATACTTTTAAGTACTTAATCTAATTTTGAATTATCACAGAATGCCACATGTGAAATGATTGGGATGAAAATGACAAGATGACGAACCTGGCCAATTGACGCTTTTAGAGTTAGAAACAACATTGTAACCAATGAAAATAAAAGCTTTTAAGGACAAAACAGGTACAAACATGATAAAAACTACGAACAATTAATACTATTTTTTCTTGGAATTTTATTTCTGGAATATGAAAGCTTCAGTGACAGACAAACTGAACTATATCATCATTTGAAAGATCAAATATTAAAATGTTTGCTTGTTCTGTCCAACATAAATAAGATTTAATGTATATGCCTCACACATGATCAACTCTATTATTTCTTTTTAAATCAATTTCCTGCTGATCATTTCAAAAAAAAATATTTTAACAATATAAAGGCTTTTACTTCTCATTGAAAGTAAATTAGCGGTCCCACAGGTACATATATCTTTTCCGCGTATAATTAATCGCAATATACATGTACTTACCGAAAAAAAATAGCCATTCCATTACATTGAAACATATGTGAAATTGGAAATAAGCGAGTATTATTAAAACAAGTGATAAATGTTTAAATACTGTTTGGAAAAAATACTGACACTGTACAATACTAATGGTGTCATGGTACCAATAAATTACAGTATATAAAAAATACGTAAATTTATCACAAATAACAAATCATCACAAAGTATAAAATATCAATATAAAGCAGGAAATTATATATATAAATAAATTATATATACTCCATATACATTGTGTTTAGAGAAACAGAATATTGCCTTTTTTCCATCCTGGGAATTTTCCAAGTACATTTAAAATAAATAATTGAATAACAGATGCAAGAAAATATCTCAATCCCATTCTGCTTATAAATTAAAAGAAAAACATTACGATCTAATGCCAAATAAACATTTCTGAGGCCGTAAAAGCGGATGTTTGTTTCTCATAAAACACACATAGAAGGCTTCAATTCATAAGCACCGTGCAATAAACTTCTACGTAAAAAAAGAAATATGATATTCCAGAATGTGTCAAAGCATAGAAGGCTTTTCAGTAGATTGCCAAATCGTAAAAAGTTATTGGTGGTCATAAATATGATATAATACACGTAATTTTAATGTATTAAAATTTTTTACGAAGTCTTTCTATAGGAAAGGCAATTGTAAATTGTAAAAGACACTCTGATGCGTAAACTATGCGAAAGAAATGAAAACTGTTTGAGTGAAAAAATCGGTGAAGAATAACCTTTCCCCTGAAGTATCTTTTGATATTCACCATTTATTTTTTACCATTACACACAAAGTAAATATTTTAACACAAGACAAAGTTCAGATGGAAGTACTGGAGAGAACAAAATCAATATTGCTAAAATGTTATCTTATTATTTTACAAATCAATAAATATAGTCTTAGAGAAGGTAAAAAAAAATGCTAAGGCTATATGACAAAGCATAACAATGTTTACTTATACAAACAATAATATTTTTAAACATATCACATAACGTAAGTAACCACGAATGGAAGAGAAAAAATACATTCGCCTGAATAGCGATCAACAATGAAAATGACAAGTATAGCTAACGAAGACATGTTTAACAGGGAAAAAATTTCAGTGTCAGCAGCCGGGCTTGATCAGCTGACATCTGTTTATTTCTTAGCCGGGGGATCTTCCGGGATCAGGGCCTGGTGAATTGGCTTTGCCGGCTCCCAGGATTCTAAGCCCCTCACGGAGTCAATCTCTTCCGACATCTGTCGCCGTCTTTCCATGTCGCGGAACGTATCCCTGGAAACGAAAAGACGCGATGTATTATAAATGCGTACAGAGGTCTTTTGTTACGAAAGTGTAGAAGCACCGTCATCACTCTGAATTTAAAAACTGCATCTTATGATAAAAGATCTTGATATTTCATTTGAAAAGACTCTGTTTATCAAATAAAGCAGGAATTTAAATTTACTGCAAATAAACCATCTTAGATACTAACTAGTCGAAAACTACAAATATCAAAAAAGTCGAATTGTATTGAATGAATGCTCTGATATTGATAATTTTCATCATGACACTGAATAAAAAAACTAAGTGTAAAACGATAAGGTCAGAAATCAGATAGATAAAAATCAATATTGACATACATATCAAGTGAAATCCAATATAATATCTCGATTTACATGACCTGTATACATCCCATTATTCTTGTGAGTAAATGTCAATACATGAAACTAATGATGACGTGATATATTGACGTCATTACTACAAATCTTTGTTTGCATTCATGATTACAATTGTTTGTAAAAATGTGCTTTGTGGTAAATATCAATCAAAAAAATTATTTTCTAGACATATAAAGTATAAAAAAAAAAGATTTTGAACCCTGAAGTCAGGCCCTATGTAGCCTAGCAAAATAAGACAATATACAAGAAAACGGTGTACATATTACTGTTATATTTGGCACTTATACGTCATGATAAACACGTAATTCTTTCTTATGTTAAATAGCCTCATATATGATAAGAATTACAATTAATAATGAAACAGATGCATTAAATTCTTTTTTTTTTCAAAATTATTTTAAAAACATATCTCTAAATGTCGACAATTAAAACATTAAGAACCATTTGATGCTTTCATTTATTTTAACAAAGCAATCTTACACACAACAACAAAGTACAAAATCTACTTATCATGGCTCTTGTTGCGAGTATTTTTTAATTATACATCAAATAAAGCATTCATTACTTAAACGGAACTGTTGACGTTAGATAATTGATGGAATAGATAAGGATTGAACTAAAGGGGGAATTCGAAAGTACGGGACAATCAATTGTAATGCTAGGAAAGATGATAGAGGAATATTACAGTGCATCGACTTGTACTAAGCAGCTGAACAAATTACTAGTGTTTTCTGAGATTCTGAAAGACAACCTGTATTGTTATTTCGAGTGGCATTTAAAATCCTAGTTTTGTTCAATGTTCAATGATCTTTCGCTGTTAAGGTCTTAAAGAAAAAAATAATACATGTAAAGGAAGCTCTTTTTTAAAATAATAATGATAACAAATATACAACCAGAAAACAATTCCCACATTTTAAAAACATATAGAAACATCCCATCTAGAAAAAAAAAGAAATTAGCTAAGATAAACTTGAAAATATTGATTTCAGGTGGTTATTTCGAACTGGGAAAGAATAGCGCATGTGTTATATTAAAAGTTTAAACTTTATAGGTAAGTTTAATTCAATAAAGTTTAAACTTTTCATGTATCACGTGTATATAACTTAAATTTCCCCCTATGATTTTCTCTCTTCATTCAACAGTCTATATCAAAAAATTTATAATTTGATTATGATAATTTATAATTTAAAATTATCAAAACATCAAAAATAAAAGAGGAACCGTGTTTATAATTACCTTTTATGACGACATATTATTACTCACAATACTGTGATGTCATAATTAACACTTACCTGGGTTTTTTGGGGATTGGAAGAAGCGGGACACAGGTGTCTGTTGATACTTTTGGGTAGTTAGCACTGCACACGAACACAATACAAAGGTCAGAGGTTATCACAACAAGCCAACAAAACGAGCAACTTACGGTAAACAAATTAGCTAAATCAAATACACTACATTACTATTAATATTAGGTTTTCATATGAGTGATTTTATGATTGTTAAAATCTACGTTTATTAACGAAGTATGGTTTTCTGGGAGAAGGAATGACGTAGGTTCAATAGCCAAGTTTTGTTTCTTTGATTATTAAAGATCACGCTGTATAATATGTTACTATGGTAACACGTATATAATCTGAAAAATACATTAGATCCCCCTTCTTATTAAAAAAAAATTGAGTCTTTTGAGCAATTCTGTTTTAAGTTTGATTACAAAAAACCCTACAAGAATCCAAACCACGTCTAAAAGTAAGAAGTTTCAAAAATTCTTTGGAAACGATGCCTATAATGATATTAAATAAATCGGTATTTTTGTGTTTAGGTTTATCTAAAGTATTGATCGGTAATTACAGAGCATCTTGGCAATTGCAAGAAAAGAAATAGAGTATCGTTTCCGTACATTAATACGTAATTAAAGGCCTTCAAAATATAAAATATAACATATTTGGTACTTATAAATTTACAACAAAATCTATTGAAATTACGTAATTTAGAAAATTTTTGTACTTAGCTAATGCAACAAAGACATTTTCTTTCAGCAATTCATAAATTGCAGAAGACAATTTTTCCATTTTATGTACTTTAATATACATGTATATGTATATGTATATGTAAAAATTTTCCATGAGACGTATGTCTTTTTACTCTAATAAACTGAACTGTCTGTAGTTTTACAAATATCTACAAATGTTACAAAAGTTACATGTACAGGTATATGTAATTATCTAGGTAATCATTTGCAAATCTACAAAGTCTGATAATTCAGTAATTAAAAGTAATTCTACAACCAAACATGCAGCAGTACTTAGCAAACCTAATAAGAAATCAGGCATGCAAATCGAGAGCTACAGTCTCTAACAAAGGGAATCAGGAACAACCATGCTACGGGTTATTTGTAACTTACTTTCGAACCACACTGTAATAATAGGAAAGCATTCAATATACATGTAGTAGCATAAAGTAGCAAATACACATAGCACAATAGAAGAGCTTTTGACACTGTCTTTTGAATTGTTCTTTTTGTGAAGTAAATACTTCAGCAATAAAATATCGTTAGTTCATTAATTATTAAATGTTCTATTGAAAATTATTACTTAAATGTATTTGTATAAAATTATTTCTTCATTTTTACACTTTTTGTTAATTTTAAATTAATGGTTGTGAAAAAGGGTTAAAATGAAATGTTCAGTAGGGATCAAAACAGACTATATGCATAAGCTTGGACGATATGCATAAGTTCACCTTGGTGAAGAAAAATGGAATGACAATGGAAAATAGATACTAGACGCGAATAAACTAAAATCGATTTTGACTCACTTTAGAGATTCACTTGTTTACAATTTAAAATAAAAGTTAAATAGACACAAAGTCTTTTGACAGAACAAGAGTGGCACCTGGGTTCCTAAAATCACTTCCTTGTCAACTATACAAAGGGATAAATCTATACGCATAGTGAGTAGTTTTTCTTATACGAGATGTGATAATTAATAAAAAGGATCATGATTTCTTAGTTTCTGTCACTTTCCTCCTTCAAAATCAACACACAGACGCCGAACATCTGAGATCATCACGTGCCAAAACTCTACGTCACGTGAGCCCGATTTATTTCAGAAAATGGTATCGTTTTATGGGTGATATTTCTTCATTTATCCTGGCCGTCAGCCCACTTGCTCTAAATGACGGATATTTGATCGTGTTAGTTAACTAAATATGTCTTTCTCCTGAAAGGTTTATTGTCTGCCTTATTTTAGTACGGTGCTAATAAGTTCTTTTCTATTATACAAGAGATCTGTGAACATGATGCGACTATAGTTTACTTTGATAAACTTGGGAAAAGTCTGAATTATATAAGTGGATGGTTCTTTGCACTTTTACCTGGCAATACTTTTAGAACAAAAATATTTAACTTATAAAGGAATCATTTAAGAGATATAAATAATGTTCCCCCATAATGAGTAGTTAATTAGCTGCATAACAATTTTATGCCTACACTGTATATATCAAAGCACAAACTAAAACTATGACAAATGAAAATCGGACACTATAATTGATACAATCAATTAACGTTTTTCAACATTCCACTTCAATCAATGAAACAACCCAAATCGAGTTCACATGCACCGGTACCGTATTGAACGCTGTCTCTGTTAATAAATGCATTAGTTATATCTTTACGACTGAAATTATTGTTTGTGATAATGTTAGTTTCACACATTTTCTGTAAATACCTGACTTGGCTGAAAAAATGGCAAGAAAATATTGATAAACTTCTTACACGATGTTAAATAACACACATGTAGTCATAAAAACAAACAAATAACAAAAACAAAGAAACAAAACAAAAACAGGGAATTTATGACCCTCCAGTACTCCGCTTCAGGTCATAATAAGTGGGTAGAGGACCTAACAAAATTGCAACCTTGACCTTTAACCATTTCCCCTCAAAATCATTAGGTCTAGTTTTAATATATGACTTTGTGACCTTTATCTTTCACCTTTTGGCCTCAAATACATCAGCCTGAAACTGAGCCTCTTGTGGGTTGACTATAGATTAATTCTGTGAGGGAAGGTTTACTACATGAAACCCCATATACATGTTAACTCCCAAATTTTAACCATGCTTCTGTCTGTGTAATATTTGACGATTTACTGCAGAGATGGTTTACTGCTTTCAGAGAAGGAAGATTAATTGGTACAATGTAATTTCAGTTTTTTCCGTGACAAAACGTACTGCTTTTCCGCGAATATCTTTTCTGTTTTTCCGAGATTGCTCGTCCGTTAGCCAGGTAGTACATGTACCTATTGTCCCATGTTTACCACAAGATTTAACCCGGAATAGTTTTTAAAATATAAAACATCGTTCATAGACGAAGCACTAGGTTAAAAAAATCTGAAATATCGTAAAAAAAATAGTGTCTGTCTTAAATAATCCGCAGAATTATCTAATTCTAAAATATTGACATGTTGTATTTGGTGTTACTTAAAAGTTTAAAGTCCAGTGGAATTAATAAACTGTCAATTGCTTGAATATTTCTGGAACAGTCGAAACGAAAAGAAGGCACTGCAAAGCGGGGCACTTCCTTGTAATAGATCACATCGATCCCGATTTAAATTATTACTTAAAAATTCCTTTACGCACTTACTCAACCACCCACCCACACACACAAACACACAAGCGGGTTACTATATCCCTCCAACTTTGTTGCAAGGGGATAAAAAGGAATGCATTGTCTGGTTTTGGAAGGATACACTTCGCTCCCAGACAGTGCAACTTAACATAATAGGTGGTGGTTTTCAGTTAAGAATACCTAAACATTAAGAGATGCTGAATGAAATAAACGCTAGACAGACTATATAAGTATAGGTAGTCGCATGTTCTACCTGTCGTTCATTTATTTAAAAATCGCAGAAAATCAAATATGAATCGATTTTCGCAAAAGCAATATCAAGTTCTCACAGAAAAGCATACAGGATTAATTTGAAAAGCAGGACGGTACCTTGGGCAAACCACTAAAAATATTCGGAGAGGGGACTTAAGCGATTCGAGTGTGTCATAGATAGAGTTTCATATTTCTTTTTTTCTTTCCTTTTAAAATTCATTTTTGTTCCTGCCAAGACGATTGGGTTAATCTTTTGATCAACTTCCTGGGTTGCATGAGAACGTCACTACACACAAGGTTTAATTAATTCACCTTATATTTTTTTAAATTCATTTTCACTTCACTCACTTCACATTTTATTACTTCATTATAAAGAATTAAAAAAAAATTAACAATTAAATTCGTTTTAATGATTTCGACAAAAATATATTTTTCGTGGGTCCAAAATGGGATTCCTTATAGATGTGTATAAAACGCATCTTTCATCTCGTGATATAATCACCACAACGTTTAAATGAGCATTTTTGTACATCAAATTCATTTATGTTTTATTCTTCTTTTTATTTTTTGTTTTGGTTGCATTTTCTCAATTGTCAGGAAAAAAGCTGAAAGGTTTACTTAGCCATGTAGTTTGCCATATATGCGCACTTCATTACTACTGTGGTTAAATTTTTTTTTTTTTTTTTTTTTTTTTTTTTTTTTTTTTAGCGAATTCGCAGAAATTGGATTACCAACATAACTGAATTCTTTAAGGAAAAATATCGATCCAGGAAAGAAATGAGGAAATCATTTTAAAGTAAAATGAAGTTCCTGACATCACCATAAACATGTAAGCAATCTCTACTTCCTTTTGAAGTAGAATAAAATTAACACTTATACGCCTAACTCTGAACAACTATAGTTTTAAAGAATTATATTTAACAAGGGGGAAAGGGGGGATAAAATTAGAATTAAAAAAGAAGAAATTTTAACATTCCGATGATTAATCATTCATTATTCCTCTAGAGAAGAGGATTTTCTGATAGATCACTCCCTACAGAGATTAATTCGATGCCTTCACTATTCCTTCACTTGATATTGTTAAACTGTAACATAATAAAGACGTCATCGATATGCAAAAAGTCATGAAATGTATAGACATATACCGGCTCACTATACATACATGTAACATGCAATCATATTTATTTTTGGAAATTTTTAGATGACGCATATATCTTTGGATTCATGAAGAAAGTGATCGAGTAGGAAGATTTATGAGAAAAAAAAATCACCGATGATTCATTAGGGATAACGGACAATTTTTTAAATTAAAATATATCTTTGTTCGCTAACGTAGATTATTACACTATAAGGCCAACGAATAAAATGTTGTTTTAATTTGCTGTTACAATTTTTTTTCTTGGGCCTTATATATGTTTATTATTATCATAGTTATTAGGAACTTCTATCGACGGATCTTATTAACCAACTAAAATATGAAAATAGTCTAAAAATCAATCTATGATGACGTTCTTTAATTATAAAAAAAGGTTTCATTATTGTGAAAGGATACTCGACAATTATTTTTTTCGCGGACAAAGAAAGGTGTAAAAATATCTTACCCGAACTGTGGACAGGGCAGACTAGACCCCGCCTTATGGAAGCTAGGGGAATATTCCACTGCCTGGTACGATTTGTCCCCCTCAGACGCGTACGGGATTCCGTTCCTCTTGTCAATGATCGTCTCTAGATGGAGGGAAAATATCATAGGGGTTAAATGTGAAAACTCTACCTAAAATTTCAGTCGGGTAACTTTATCAAAAACTTCGTCTAGAGTAAAAAAAAAAGTGTAGATAACAGGGGGGAAAAGGAATCCTATTAAATTATGTATCAAAGTTTTCACAATCAGAATATAAGATATTGAATTTGAATAAATGGATATTGAATCATAGTCTTATTTTCTTGCAGTGGAAAGAAAGATAACTCGATCTAAATTTAGAGTATATTGGCCCTTCGCCATAAGCAGGAAAATAAATGCACTTTATTGAATCTAAAAGTAAGTGCAATATATTTTTTATATCTCCAATTACCAAATCAATATATGCTTGCTACATGTACATCACAAAACCAAATCACCCACACCACAACCCTCCCGATATAAATGCCTTTTTTTCACTATTCTATTCTTGGCATAACCAGTGGCCATAAGTTAGTCCCATTCACGAATCTTGTATATACATGTATCTCATAAATTCATAAGTTGTTTTATTAGTCTGTGGATGGCAATAGAATACAAACTGTTCTAGTAAATGTTTTTATCTTTCAAAATCAACATAATATCATTGTTTAATTAAATATGCCCATAATTATATTATAATGAAAATAAAATTTTATCTATCTGAATTACTTTTTTAAGCTCTGTTTAATATAATACATGTACAAATAAATATTGTTATTTTTGTCTACCTCTGTAAATATTTTATTGTTTGACGTACATCTAACTAATCAAAAAAGTATAAACGAGTCCAAAAAAAAAAAAAAAATACAGTCCGGAATCTTGTGTTCCCGAACCAATTGTCCGGATTAACGAAGTGTCCGGAGAACTGCAACATATTTCGTAACTAAAAATATTAATTGTTTCCTATAAATTTGTCCGGAAGGTGGAGCGTCCGGCCGCGGATTGTTGGTGTCCGGATAAATGAGGCTCCACTGTATATATTTCAATGAAAAGTTGAAAACCTCTTATAGAAAACAGTTAACGATTTGGGACTATCTTCTGAGCACTGGAAATGCTTTTTTTAAAACTATATTTATGAATACATGTACATGCACTCGTTTATATATCTATAAACCTGGTGTTTTGTAGGCAAGTTTCGTATTAAAAACTTCGTCATAACCTCTCCTTGTGTCTACTTTCTGACCAGCTGAAATGAATTCAGTTGTAATTATTTTATACACATTCAGGGGATAGGGGCAAGGGAATATCACACCCCCCCCCATCTTTCCACATGCGCAGATCCATATTTTTTCCCAGCTAGCTAGGGGGAGGGGGTCCACCCTACTACCCCACCCCCCAAAATCCTTCCCAGAAATTCTTTGACAACAATTCAGAAAAAAGGCTTAAAACAAAAACGACCACATCTCTAAACTTGAAAGCCTAGTTCGTTGGGGAGGAGGGGGGGGGGGAGGGGGGCTTTCCTTCACTTCATAAATTAAGCTTCATTTATTTGATTCTCCTTATAACAGTATGATACTCCTTACGAGGGGTTCGTCTTTCTTGGGGAGGAGGTCTTTTTTGTTACTTTACTATGTAAATTTGATAACTCTGAAAATCCCAGGCGGATCGGACCCCACCTGACTCTCTCTAGATCCGCACATGTTCCACTTACTGGTTTTATTCACCTATTAAATAAATGTCTGTCCATTCCACCACCACCCCCCTCCCCCCCCCCCCCATTTTAAGAGATAATCTAACTTGTTATAGCAGGAAAATGCTTTAAAAAAGAACATTTTGACATCTTTGCTTGTTTAGTAAACTTACCGTTGCGTCCCCGCCCAAAAAGCATTCTGTGTGTGATTTCATCACTGCTGGTGTTAGTGGCCTTGTGGACGCCGCCAAAGTTACACCTAAGTCCCACCTTGGTCAGTCCAGGGTCAAGCAACCACTCATTTCTCGTCCTCATGTATGTGTCTGTTAGATAATGATATAAATCTGAATAAGTTTACGCTAGACGTGTAATTTAAAGAAAATATTTTTATCCTAAATTTACTACAAACTAAAAAAGGTACATAACATTTTTAATTTACATTACGGGCGGGTTGAATTGTATGCAAATGTGATACATGTACATAATGTATATTGCATCTTATTCTATGACAACAATTTTATGAGAATATAAATGACAACAATTTTATGAGAATATAAATGACAACAATTTTATGAGAATATAAATTATCCAGAGTCTCACAAGATACAAATGAAGTCAGACCAAAAAAAAAAAAAATAATAATAATAATCATCATTACATGTATTTCTTATCTTTCTAAGAAGCAACTAAGTTCATTTTCAGTTACAATAAATCATGAATGGGATATAATAAAATAATTGAAAATGCTTCTTCCTCCCCCATTCGTTTTTTTTTAAATAAATAACTTAATACATTTTTTTAACTTGTGTTTGTTTAAAAACAAGTAATATTAATTAATTATAAAATAAATTCAAATAATATTCAATTGATGAAAAAAAAAATACTTTAGCTAGATTAAAACTGTTTTCTAGGTAAGATAACTCCAGCTGACTTACAAGGATACGGCCTCATAGCTTTCCAGTTGTTCTCAAAGATTTCTGCTGCCGGGTATTTAGGATTTTCTGGATCAGGAATGTATTTTAGCTTCGACTTCCAGTCCGGTCCATTCCTGCAAAATCAGGTCATTTGAAATTCAAACGATGCCCCAATAAACGCATCTATAGGTGAATGTGTACCATATTTAAATACAGAAAGAAATATTTTCAAGCTGCTGATCTGCTTAGATGTGTTTTGTTTAAGAAATAAACATTAAGGTGTCTCTATTCTCAATCGCCTTTGGAAGACTTAAAAATAGTAGGAAAATGCAATTTGGTACAATGTACATCATGACAAACACATGATACAAAACAACAACAACAACAACAAAACTATGAAAGAAAATTATTAGCAGAGACTTTAGCTCCAATTCAGAGGAAATGTCATCAGCATTTTCTGTACTAGACTTACTCAGTATATCTGATGTTGATATTCTGGTTATGGGGCATCCAGTCCTCATAAAATCCGTAACCGTGAGGGATGTATCTACGGCCATGGGGCTTGTAAGACGGTAGGCTGCAGTTGTTGTGGATATCTGGGAAATGTTTTCTCTCCCTCTCTGAATATGCAAATAAGAAAAAAAATTATGTAGATCTATGATTTATTACTTTTATATATTTGTACAAATTATAATAAGAAAAGCATCTAATATGTCTTGATCTTGAACCTAAAAGAAAATCAGTTTAGTACGATTTGTAATTAGACAATTTGAGGAAGATGAGACAAAAGTAGAAGAAACAAGTTGCTGTCCTTTAAAAAAGGACCGCAATATGTGGACCATAGGCATGTGTTTCTAAACGAAATTCAAAGAAATTAAATTTCTAGATTTAGTGACTATACAAAGGTCAAATAAATTTGTTTTTACATGTATCTTGTAATTTTCATCGTTATTTAAGTCTGCTTAAATAGGCTGTAATGATAAAAAAAAACGAGACCTTGAAATGATATGAATATGAAATGTTGATCTAGGTATCTATCACAATTGTAATGTAGCCTTTAAAATCAACAACAGAATTGTAAGAGGCTTAAGCGTGCAGGTATCTAAATAGTTGAATTTTAACTCCATTGGCAGGTCCAGGGGGAGGGAGGGTCTGGGCGTTGGAACCCCCTTTGTTTTTGCAGAAAGAGGAAGAGAGAGAGAGAATGTTTTTTCTGTAATATAAATATTTTACGTCTAGTATTTTCAATAAAATAAGTACTTCAATCTCTACCCTTTCTGCTCTATAGATAGAATTTTGCTTATTGCTTTCCTCCGTGTACCTTCACAACCCTGGTCCCGGGCCTCGATCACCCACACGTAACATGAAAGATTTCACTTTGATATCATCGGAAGATTCCGGCGAACGTAAGGCTATGCCATTCTTTAAGAAGTATGCGTAAATAGTCATGAAAGGGAGTATGCATAAGAGAATATTTCTCTCCTTATATTATGGGGATATTTTAATCAATAAAGAGAAAGGTTCAAAATGTCTCCGTAGTATGTGGGGGAGGGGGGCTCACTTTTTCTATAAAAAATAATCTTTTGTTATAATTTGAATATATAAGCAGGGTTCGACACTAACTTTTTTACCTTGGTGGACTGCAGGTCCACTAGTCAAAAAATATTGGTGGACCTTCTCAAATTCTGGTGGACCTTTATAAATGTTTGAATTAATGAATGAATTCATTACACAAGGCTTGAAACCAACTTATGTACCCAGTCTTGTCAGACTAATAAAGTATAAGTTTAACCAGTCAACAGAAACAAATCAATTACTAGTAGTCAGGAGTTTTTAGCAATATTGTGAAACATATTTTCAATATTTAAAAAAAAGAACACAATCTACATCTTCAAACAATTTGTTATTTTAATATAATTTATTTACAATGGTAGAAACCTGCATTTATTTAGCTTCCAAAGGTAGATACAATTTATAATCCCAATAATTGAGTTGTTCATATAAACAAATGAATTTTTCATGTATCTATGGCTAGAATACTTTTTATAACGATGCAAAACTGACAAAAGTATATTTATTTATTTATTTATTTTTTTAAATTATTATTTATTCAAATAAACTGCGATCATATGATTCTTTTATGTGATATAATGTATAGCAGAAAAAAAACAGGAATTGCAAATAACGTATTCATAAAATATAAATCACACCTGCTTGAGGACAATGCATAAATGCAGCTGTCAATCAATTAACATTATCGCCAAACCTGGCCATCAGAAAGTCAGGCGTGAAGTGATTTCCTGTTACCCAGTGTATATTTTCACACCTTTCTGTGCATTAAACAAACAAAGGACAGACTGACCAATTTGGCTCGAATTTTACATGTTTCTTTTTCAAGGTCCGTGTTGAATGTTCTTGCAGTCAATGTTATTGATAGTGTAGTCATCAATATTACATGTAAAATATATATTTAGTTGCTAGGTTCCCCTGATTACCCAAAATGAATTATACCCTATTTATTTCTCGTAAAATATAAGTATGGATGAATTAATCGTTGATTTACGGATGTCGATTTATAGAAAAAGTGGAATTACCGTTGTTTTTTTTTAAATATGGTGTTTAATTTTTAAGTGGACCGACGGTCCACCTAGTCCAGAACATTTGGTGGACCTTCCAATTTTTTGGTGGACTCGGGCCGCAGGTCCACCGTTAGTGTCGAACCCTGATAAGTTTTAATTTGCATTGGAAGCTCCCCCGCACTTTTTGTTGCGGGAAGGTTTAAAATTCGGAAAATTAAACATTTAAAAGAAATCAAAATGTACCAAAAAGTTAGACAAGCCCCCCCCCCCCTTCCCTCGTAATAGGATTTAACAGTGTGGTGCACAGGTTGTTATTAGTCCCCTACCGGTGAAACCGGAGGGGATTGGTATAGGTTTCCTTTGAGTCTGTCCGTCTGTCTGTCTGGCTATCTAGGTGTCTGTCTGTCTGTCCCTCTGTCTGTCTGTCAGTCTGCTCCACGTGGTTTTCCTAAACTTTTTTTTTCTAAACGCTTGCAGATATTGAGCTGATTTTTGGTATGTGAGTGTATCTTGATGAGTTACAGATCAAGTTTGCATTTCGTTCCGCTTCAATGATTTTTGACGGAATTACGACCTTTTCAATTTTAAGATTTTCCACAATTATTTTCTAAACGCTTGCAGATATTGATCTGTAACTCATCAAGATACACTCACATACCAAAAATGAGCTCAATATCTGCAAGCGTTTAGAAGAAAAGTGCGGAAAACCAAGTGGGACAGGCTGACAGACAGACAGAGGGACAGACGGACAGACAGACAGACAGCTAGACGGACGGACGGACTCAGAGGAAGCCTATAGTCCCCTTCGGTTTCACCGGTAGGGGACTTATAAAATTATAATTATCGTCCGCTTTATGTATTTACCTCTAAGAAATCTATTTGATTGTCAAGTTCAATTACCTTTTAATCCGTATTACACCTAAACAAACTAGTATTCTTTTGAAAATATTATCTATTTCCAATTATTATAAAATTCTGGTTGGGATCAATTTAAATTTTGATCGGAATTAGCCAAAATTAAAAAAAAAAATTCTAAAAACTAGCATTTTCATTTTAGTTTCTTTTTAAAATATGATTGTCTAGCATATTCATTGTAGCTGTGACTTGTTTTTTTTTTTTTTTTTTTTTTTTTTTTTTTTTTTTACATTATCCATAGGTTTCGAAAATATTCATAAATACTGTGTTTTATTTTCATAGATAATTTTTTAGTAAAAAAAAAAAAAAAATAAAATGACCAGCTTGCTTTTGTTTATATATTTTATTAGATATTCATTTTCTGCATTTATTAATAGCAAATTTTTAACTCTAAAACATCTTATTTGCAAATAAAATCTTTCTTTTTTTTTTTCATTTTCTATGAAAAATTGGGGAAAAAATTTATAAAATAATTTAAAGCTAATATCGGCCTTTTAATGCTGAAACCATAGTTTAAAGGGGATGTCTTAAAGACCTATGAAAAAAAAATTTGGCGTGGCATCCCTTCTTAAATTCTTCCTTCAGACTTAGAATTAAATGCTTATTTCAGTGTCTTACAATTTATATACTTTATCTCATAATGTTATGTACAGTGCATGTAGATTGAGGAGGGTGCCTATGCGCGACAGAGGCAACTTTGGAACAATTTTTTAAGCCCACAATTTGCTTGACTTTCTTTTTTTATTGAATGGCTCTAATACTTAAGTGAATGATTTTAATTTTCCCAGAAGCTTTGCAAGGACCTGTAATAAGGTGAACATTTACTCAAAATAATTACGTTGATAGCCCAACGGTTAATCATTTAACACTGTCCATTCAAAACCGTTTTGTAGAAATCTATGGTCAGCAGAGTAGAACCATGCAACAAGTAAAGATTATACATAGTTTTATTAAGAGTATGTATTTGAACAAACACCAAACGAACGTTTAAATATGCAATAAGAAAATATGAAATGCCGGGTAATGCGTAGAACAACGAGTGAGTCATGATGCAATGCATTTTGGTTAACATTGAAAACAACGACACGATGTCTGAACAAGATAAAAATTATGAAAATATAGAAAAATGAAAGCATACAAGGGAAAAGGATAGTGAATACCAAACCCTTATTACATACTAGATCAAATAAAGGATATTTATAGACCTCCTCTCTGCATGTGGATAATTTAGGGCATTAGCTATCTTTTTTTCATAACGGCACAACATATAATATCCAACTTAGATTTTAAGCTGACATGTGTTCCTTGTATGTTAGTAAGCATATAAATATTGTTTTCCAATCATATAAAATTAAATGCTCAAACATATAACGCAATGAACAAATTGTGAACTGGGAAGCAGTATTTTCTGTTGTTTGAAGTTATCGCCCTTACAAGTTTAAATTACATTCATTTTTTTGCAAAAATAAATAAATTTGCCAAATCCAATTTAAAGTAAAAAGATCAAGAATAAACATTTTATAATTTCTTTTATAAATAACTTAAGAATTTTGTCTTTATTCTGGAATAAGTATTTTTCCATTGATTCTATTGTAAATAACTTTGAAAAATCTATGCATTATACATATATATGTTTTTTTTTTTTACATAAGGCTTAAAAATAAATGAGTCAGACGGTCAAAAAAAAAATAAAGAGAGAGGGAGAAAGTGGGGAGATGAGAGAGATAGAGAGAAATGGAGAGAGAGGGAGGAAGTGGGGAGAGAGGAACTGGGGAGGGAGAGAGCGGAAGTGTGGAGGGAGAGAAAGTGGGGAGAGAGAGGAAGGGGGTGGAGTGGGAGGGAGAGAAAGGTGGGGAGGGAGAAGAGAGAGAGAGAGGAAGTGGGGTGGGAGAGAGAAAGAGAGGAAGTTGGGAGAGAGAGAGGTGGGGAGAGGACTTGGGGAGGTAGAGGAAGGGGAGAGAGAAAGTGGGGAGAGGAAAAGACGATAATGTGATACTGTGCATAGACTTGTGTTAAACACCTCTTTTTTATGTAAAAAGCCTCATTTTGTGAAGGCTTTGTTGACACTAGCAAACAACAAAAGATACTGGTAAAGATTTTAAGCTAATCACGTTTTGTGCCCCTGATATCAAAGGTCAGAGGCATATTGATTCAGGCCTGTGTGATATTTTTTTTCACATATTTAATCTTCCCTACATTTTCATGAGAAAAAGTTTGAGACTCAATTCATAGAAATTGAAAGATAATTATGAGATGAAATTTTCATAACAATCGCCCCTTTTTAAAGCAAATTTAATTGGGAAGAGTTTTAATCTTTCTTATAACTTATGAAGAAGAAAGAAGACTATTTTGATTTTTTTGCACATTTAGATAATTAAAACCGTGGAAACTGAAAATTTTTAAGGTATTATTATTATTAAGGTATTCCATCCCTAATAGCAACAGATTCAATGAAATTGAATACATATCAGATGTGTAGGTGTTGAATACTCAGTATATTTAGACACAATTCCCATTTATTACTATAAGCATGGAAGGGTGGGATGTGTCCTAATTCATGATCTTGAAATTTGGTAAGAGTTATCTCCCTCTGTTTTTAAATTATAAAAAAATAATCTTAAAAACTTATCTGGTAAAAAAAAAAGTTTTCAATTGTCATTCTATTTCTAATGTGTAATGCATCTTTCTACCACAATATTTATTGATATTATTATTATTATTTGAATTAAAAAAAAAAAATTGTCCCCATAGACTTCAAAGCAATTTGTTAATTAATTACTGCTTAGTAAATTACATTTTTGAAACTTTCTCTTGGTAAACCCTTTTGTACTATAAAATGCTTTAAATTAATTAATATCAAAGTATTATGTACATGATGAACATTTAAGGATAGAGAATTAGGGATGGAAAACCTTAATGTGATAAAACAAATCATAGAAAGCGCGTATTCTTTTTCTAATAGTCAAAGAACATCATTATAGCCTTGTTATGTTTTCCTTTAATTGGGATAAACCATCTTGTATTATTTATGTAAAGTATAGTTATACCTTTTAATTTTATCAAAAAATGACAGAGGGTCGTTATTCTACGGTGTCATTTTTCTACAATCCACACGGAGAAAAATGACCCAAAGGCCATAATTTCTACGAAAAAGTGGGTTATTTTTCTACGTAGAATATTGAGCGGGGGGGGGGGGGGCGGGGTCAAACTTCTACAGAGAAAAATGATCCCCGGTCAATATTCTACGGGGTTTACTTTTCGTCGTTACACCGGTAAACATGGTATCTTTTAAAATCTAGTAGTTCAAGCTTTTAAACTATCTATATAAGTTCTTTCTACTTATTTAAAATGCTTAATTGTACCATAGAATTTAGTTTGTACATAAGGATATATGTATATAAGAGAAATTAGGATCTTGGTTACACCAAAGAATACATAAATAAGATGCGAAGATTTTATAGCAAGGTTTGCCAATGGTTGGCATATTCTAATTCGAAAAGGGCGAATTGTTCTACGGGCAAGTTATCTTAGAGGCGAACTCTACCCTAGCATGAGTAGCCTGATGTAAGCCCATGGCATCCGCTTTAACCCCGCTTAATATATATTTTCTGCGTGGACCTCAGGGTCCACGCAATGAAAAATGATCAGAAAAATACCTTGTTTAAAGCTGAACACGATTCGTAAATAGGCATACGCCATTTTCGATATTATATTTACGATACGTCAACACCAGGGTATACTCTTCGCATTCATTACACCTGACTGCTTTATTGTCACGGGTATCGGCGAGGAATGACCACCCGTGTTCGTGCTGGTTATCTTGCATTACCTTTGTATACATTTTATTGCAGTTACGTGTATTTACAAGTGTTTGTTTGTATACTGCACTGACCTGTGCAACTTTTGTAAGTTTCTTTGGTATCTTACTCTCCTGCATTAGAAGTACACATGCGGTTATATTTTGTCGCTACCAAGTGCTGTAAAGCATACGTCCGTCTACATCGGTGACGATGGATTACACTGAACAGTGACCAAGTCAGCGGCTTTATATAGGGGCCCTCTGATATAGCGAGAAACCATCGAATATGGCGGACACATTCCTTTTACAAATCGTGTTCAGCATTAACAAAACTATACATTTACATTATTATAGAAACTAAATGGTGAAGGAACATTTGAAATGAATTTATTTTAAATTTTTCTACTTCTATCCAGTAATTTTTATCATGTATTTATTTTTTTATTATTTGAATTTAATGAATTTAATAATTGATAGGTCTATGTGTTTTATCAATCTTTTACAAAGAGAATGTGATTATACAATTTATACGATATATATGATATATATGATTATCACTCAATTTTTTTTTTTAAATATTTGAATGATTCTAGAAATGTCAATAAAAAATAGAGTGTAATTTAGTGTCTAACACAACGGACACCTATTATATTCTGTATACATAATCTTGAATTAGCAGCAAAACAGGAACTCGACAATTTCAATAGTAAGATAGGTGGACTCGGTCTACGGGAATAGTCTACATTACATACATGTAAGATCTAACCCTTAAGGAAGCCCTAAACACTGCTAACTAAAGAGTTCTTATTTCATGGTAGTTTTATGCAGTTAGAGTGAACTGACGACCTTAGTTGAAAGATAGAATATTTGAATGACAGAACGAATAAAAGTATTCGTAACTAACATTACATGTACATGTATATACACTGTACATTTATTGCATGTATTTTACCAACATATAAGTAAACAACAGTGATTTCTGCATATGTTCACTAATACTTCATTGCCTTTGAACATTTTCCCTGAAAAAAAAAAAATGGTAGGTACCCTATGTTGAAAATAGGCTAGATAAACTCATTATGTACATGTACACTTCATCAAGAAAGAATTTTCTTAAAGTCCAAAAAACATTTTTCATTAGTGTTTAGATCTTCCTTTAATATTCCCAGGGTCACCCCATCACGTATAATTTTATATACAATCATAAAAAAATAAACGGTTGTCGATTAATAGGAGCACTGCCACATCTATGTGTATATAAATATGCTCTATTATAAAAATTCCTATTGATGTGGTTATACCGACATAGCTTTGATAGAACCCGAGGAAATCCGGGCGACATACAAACTATTGTTAACATCCCTTACCTTTCCTGCCGACCTTTCCGATTTCAGTCGTCAAATGCAACATTATTATGCTAATTATATAATGTTTCCGTTAGATTCTTTGTAAAGGAAGTTACATTTTAAAGCTTAATGTACTAAATCAAAATGTAAACAAAAAGAGCAAACAGCGACATGCGCTGGGTGAAAGCGGTGGCCCTGGTGATGTAAACAAACCGGTGCCCGATTATAGCGACACCTGTCAATACTTTCACTTTCGTTAATTGAAAGGGCGGATCAAATGACAATTAATCGATTTATGTGCATGTAATAAAACGTCACAATTATACAACGTTAATATATTCTAAAATAAAGTGTGTGTCTTATGCCAAAATTATTCACTGTATAAAAATTTAACGGTTAAGTTTGCACTCTACATTTTAAAAATAAATGGATAAATAATTTAAAACATGAAAAATAAATACTGAGAGAATAAAAATGATTCAAGACTCATCAAAATATAAAGGACATCCACTGATTTTTTACATTGCTTTACGGAAAAACAATTAAGGAAAATGAAGTTAACTTCAATGCTTGATAGTAGTAGTGGTGGTGAAGGGGGGGGGGGGTGTAAGAAGTGTGGGTTCATTGACTTTGGATAGTGCGCATATGGCACATGATACGTGTAACGTAAGCACTTATTTAAACGCGTGTTCGTGTCTTAGCACATCTTTTATAGAGCCGTCCAGACTCTTTTGACACCAAAAATTGGCCAAATCAATATGCGAGTCATGTTCATGTGACTGATTAACTTGAAAATCTTGATTTTTGCGTCTGTGAATAAAATGCATGTAAATAAATCCCAAAAATCATCGCGTAGTAAGAAAATTGTTGTAGCAATAATAAGTCTATCTAGAACCGTGTATTAAATTACATGTTGTTACCCAATTTCTTTTAAATTAATATTATATAGATAGAATAGAATCAAAATTTTCATATATTATTCCAGAAAAAAAATAATTAAGTTTAAGATATACATTGATATAATTATGTTTCATAGTAATGTGGAATTTTTAATTAAATTTGAAAAGGTCCATGAAGTCATTTGAATGTATGCAATTTTCAGACCTATCATGTGTGCTTTAGGGCTCTAACTTAAACAATACATTATCAAGTTTCTGCTTGGGGGGGGGGGGGGGGTTTAACAGAAAATAATATCCAAATTATCTCTCTAAAAAATATTTATGAAAAAAAAATTGAAAAGATTAATCATACATAATACTGAAAGAAGTAAAAAACAAAAACAAAAAAAACAAAAAAAAAAAAAACAAACTTTGCCCCCCCCCCCCAGAAAACACCACCACCACGAAATAGGTTACTGATTTTTACGTTTGGAAACGGACTTTACGGGGGGGGGGGTTATTGTTTTGTTTTGTTTTTTTTTTGTTTTTTTTTTTTAGTTTTTATTTATTTATTTATTTATTTATTTTTTTACTTGTCCAATATTTTCTGGATCCACCCCTGACAAAGATAAATAAAATAGACATATAATCCTTATTTTGGGAAAAAAAATATTTGTGATTGAATATAATATGAAAATTCAAGGAGATTACTACACATATTGTTCACCTGGCGGATTATTGGGATATTCTATTGAAATGTTTGACACATGTTTATTTCAATTTTATCATGGAGTATTGATAAAAATTCGTTATAATTATTATGTGTTATGTTGGGGAAAGATCGCCTCCAGTCTTGTTTAATGAGTTCGTACGTTGTGTCCTGAGATGAGTAATTTAGCAGATAAGTATAAATGCTACATAGGAAATAGGATGAGGACACATTAGATGTATGCACTTATATTTAAATGTAAGTACAAATCCACAAAAAAATATAAACACTTGTGTGATCGAGTAGTTATACATGTACATGTACTTATGGACCTCACAAATCATTGCAACTTTTAAAATCTCTCTCTCTCTCTCTCTCTCTCTCTCTCTGTTCCGTCATATATTATATTACAAAGGAGAATAGAATGCCTTTGGCATAAATTCATCATATTTTTTGTCAGAGTTTAAGATATTCTTACAAACCAAGGTTTCCAAAAAACGTGAAACCTTATTAACTCCTAATGGGAAAGGGAGGATGAGGCTAGAACCGTGACGGGATATAGAAATTGTACAGATAAAATCCGAACAACTGTTGTCAAACAGCGCAGATTTAGCACCACTGTCATATCGTACATTTAGAATTGACCGGGTGGTAGCTATAGTGAATACAAATATACAATATGACAGTGTAAAAGGTGAATATAGCGAACATGTAGTGATCAGCAAGTTGTTTTTTTTTGTTGTAAATTTTGTATTTACTTCCCACCCCTTCCCCCTGTCATTTTGAAATCCATCCCCCTCTCAATAAAAGCACTTAACCTTCGGTTGAAATTTTTGTCTTTAGAATACACTAGACAAAATTGCTAACGCACCACTTATTATTCTTATTAGTCCCCTACCGGTGAAACCGGAGGGGTCTATAGGTATCCACTGAGTCTGTCTGTCCGTCTGTCTGTCTGTCTGTCTGTCCGTCTGTCTGTCTGTCTGTCCCTCTTTCTGTCTGTCAGTCTGTCCCACTTGGTTTTCCGCACTTTTTTCCTAAACGCTTGCAGATATTGAGCTGATTTTTGGTATGTGAGTGTATCTTGATGAGTTACAGATCAAGTTTGCATTTCGTTCCGCTTCATTGATTTTTGACGAAATTACGGCCTTTTCAATTTTTAGGGGTTTTCCGCAATTTTCTTCTAAAGGCTTTCAGATATTGAGCTGATTTTTGGTATGTGACTTTACCTTGATTATAGTTATAGATCAAGTTTGCATTTCATTTTGCTTCATTGATTTTTGACTGAATTATGGCATTTTGAATTCTTAACGGGAACCAGATTACACTTGCCGGTAGGGGACTAGTATTGCTAATGCAATACTCTCAGAATGCTTGTTTGTGAATTGGTCATTTTCCTGATTGGTACTAGTATATAAAATATGCCATCTTTTCCAAAACAGTTGGATTGACAAATGTCTTGGTGTCATGTCAAGACCCTTAAAGGACCTTCTTGTCCGAAAATCAATTTCCCGACGTGCACTGCGCACCGTTTTTGCCAAGATATGAAGTTGGTGATTACCGGTGGTGGTCCGTGACGTTGCTACGGGAGCAGTCTCCCACTTAAAAATCAAATGATATACCCTGATTGACTACCATATCGCTTAGTAGTCATCCAGTGCCTTGGTGTCCCTACCAAATTTACCCAACTTCCGGTTGCCCCAATTTTGTGGAACAATTTTGAAATTATTGTGTGGTGCTCACTTAATGCCGTCGATATCTTTTGTAAACATTTTTATGATCGTTAATTCATTTTCAACAATTTTTCACCAGAGAAATTCATAATCATTTGATTCTTTTAATTTTTCACAAATTTCTTCAAAGGAACCCCCTAAGACACCATACTGGCTGCCTTAGCACGCTCTTCTAGAGTCAAACGCCGAATACGGTGTAACTTTTTTTCTGAGTTTTTAATTAGTATAAACATAAAGAACACAACCACAAAGAAAAAATTAGAAATTTATTCCACCAAAAAAGTATGGATATGATTTTAATTTTTGCTATGAAGTGGTTACGCTTCAGTAAACATTGTTGTTATTTATCAGTTAAAGCATTTAAATGTCTCATTTTTTATTAAAGTAACATAATTATATATCAAAAACATCATAAACAAGTTTTGAAAAGAAAAATGTTAATTTATTTAGGTGGTGCGTTAGCAATTTTGTCTAGTGTAGAAGGGTTGGGTGAGAAAGAGAAGACATGCATGGTTGGAAATTTGGTAGGGCGGTTGTGAGGAGCAAGGGTGGGAGAAAGGGTAGTATGGGAGAAAGGCCTGGGTGGGAGAGAAGGTAGGGTGGTTGTAAGAGACTGGGCTAATACGGAAGAGGGTAAGGAGGGAGACAGGGTATAGGGAGAGAGAGAGGATGGGGGTGGCAGAAAGAGAAAGGTGGGAGAGAGAGAGAGAGAGAGAGAAGGTAGGTTGAGAGAGAGGCTGGGCTGGTGGGAAAGAGGGTCTGGAGAAAGAGAGGGTAGGGTGGAAGAGGGACTTGGGTGGGAGAGAAGGAAAGGTGGGGGAGAGAAAGAGGATAAGGTGGTAGAGAGGCTGGAATGGCAAAGAGGGAAGGGTTGGAGAGAGCTTGGGGTGGGAGAGAAGGTAGGGTGCACGTGGTTAAAAGAGGCTGAACCGATAGGAGAGAGGGTAGGGAAGAAGAGAGGGTGGGGTGGGAGAAAGGCAATAAGCAATAAATTTTCTAATATTTTTCTTTATTGAAATCCCAGTTTTCATTAGATATTCTGTGCACAGTAATATGATATCAATATCAATCTACGGAAACAATTTTGGACAATTCCTCATGAATAATCTATGTCTAAATTGAATTTCTGAAATACTGCATGTTTTTTGCATCAAATTCACTATAAATATTTAACAGCAATGTACCATATTATTAGTTTTCTATCTCCAATTATTTTCCTGCAGGCCTATTTATATCGCAGCAAAACACATTAAACAATTTCTCCCTAACCAAGCTCCATTTCTAGTTAAATATCCCCTGCCGTGTTCTGCATCGAATCCTCGAATGTTTTTGCTAATTTTTGGTGCATCTTGTCGCAGTATAATAAGAAACTCGCATATCGCCCAGGGGGTAGCCATTATTATCAAACATTCTTTTCTTTTACGACCTTGCTCATGTTTATGAAGAGAAAAAAATTGCTTCAGTTTAAAAGCTCAAGTTTCACTCTCTCATTAACATTGTATTGAAATATTTCCTGTTCGTGATATCTATGCAAATAGTTGAAGGTGGCTTTAAAAAAAGGAAAAAAGAAAAAAAAAACTCCAATCCGACACATTTGTCCTTTAATCAATTAAGTTCCCCTTTGAAGCATGATGTCTTAACCCATGGTTGGCGCTACTCTACAGTTAAATCCCACCGTCATTGACTCGAGGAGATTTATTTAGAATCTTGTCACAGGAGGAAAGCGGCGGCCATAAAATACATATTCTCCTAATGCCGACATCTTCAAGCCTTTATTTGTGTGTGTGTTAGCCATGAATGCGACTTTTATTCCTTTTTCGTGGTAAATTTTTCGCTGATTACGACCTGCGAACACGTGAGAT